GGATAGTCGGTGCTACTAGACTCTGGGGCATCAGTGTCAGCTTTGGAGCCGTCAATTCACTTATTAGTATGCCTTGCGTTATGTCGTACGTACAATCTTCACTCTCTATTTTCCGAGTCGCTCATACCTTCTCAGTCATGCATCGATAGATCCCGCGGTGCGGGCTGCTCGTGGATTACCCGAAGATTTGATCCGCCTTTGCGTCGGTATAGAAGATCCAGAGGACCTGATAGACGACTTAGAAAACGCCATCGTCGAAGCTGGCATCACACTTCCCTCTCCTCTCCCATCCATCGCCGAGCCTCCCTCTACACCGATTCGAGGCGAGCCTTGGGCTCCGAGACTCTCCTTGGCGGCACCACTGCCCCTCATGGACATGGAAAAGAGAAAGCCAACGCACGCTCACTGGTTCGTCTCTGCACCGGGAAAAGTTATCCTCTTTGGCGAGCACGCAGTCGTACACGGTGTTGTAAGTTTTCCGAATTACGCCTGTAAGCTTTGTACTGACGAATGTACAGACGGCCATTGGTGCTTGTGTCGATTTGCGATGCTATGCTTTGGCGTCGCACAGAGATGATGGAAAGGTCTCCTTGCATCTTCCCGATCTCAACAACTGGAGACACGCCTGGGACATCGAGTCTCTTCCTTGGGACGCAGTCACGCCCACACGTGTGGGAGAGGATCACGGGCCTATACTAGATGCTCGTCTTATGGACGCAATTGATACCAGAGCACTACCCGATACCGTCAATCTCCCACAATTCCTCCGTGCAAAGGCAGCAGTCACTGCCTTCTTGTACATTTACATGATCCTTCGACAAGACGGAAAGCCAAAGTGAGTACTGCTTACTCTTCACCCACCGACCACCTGCTGAGATTACTTGTTAGGCCAAGTTTCAATTTTGTGACTCGTTCGACATTGCCCATCGGAGCAGGTCTAGGATCCTCAGCCTCGTACTCTGCCTGTGTGGCATCCGTCAATCTCATCTTTGCCAGGCGCACATCACTAAATGAGCCCGTCCGCCGACGCCTAAACTCGGAGGCTGCCATCTCCTATGTCATCAAACACGATGGTCGTCGTGCAATCCCGTCAGAAGTCGCAGAAGAGGTGAACAAGTGGGCCTTTGTCGCCGAAAAGGTCATGCACGGTAATCCTAGTGGTGTCGACAATACTGTGTCTGTGCACGGTGGTGCCACTGCCTACAAGCGTGCAGTTAACGGTGCTAAAGGAGGCATGGACGGTTTACATGGGTATAGTGCTCTTTTTAATGTCCGTAGATGCTATCTTACATTTCCTCTTAGATTCCGATCTGTGAAATTCCTGCTCACGGACTCACAAGTCCCGAGAGATACCAAGAAATTAGTAGCAAACGTAGGACTAGCACTCAAGCAGGTATGTATACTCCCCTTCAAAATGGTATGTTTCTGATACCGCCACCTAGAACCCTAATCGTGGAGCGGATATCCTGGACTCGATCCAAGCAATCTCTACCGAGGGCTTCCGTGCTCTCAGCGATCCTGAAATTCCACGTGAGACATTGCTGAATGGTCTTTCTGTGAGTATCAAGTGTCCTCCATGCCGAAAACCCAGACTGACAAAAGATTTCCTCCTCTAGAAACTCATCAAGCAAAATCATGCCTTCCTCAAGGAATTGGGTGCCTCACACATCTCCCTCGAGGAAATTTGCGAGTTGACAGACGAGTTTGGTCTCTGCACCAAACTCACTGGTGCCGGAGGAGGTGGTTGCGCAGTTACCCTCATTCCTGATGGTGAGTCTTGAACCATTCAAACAAAATATTTTTATTGACACAACTCTATCAGACTTTTATGACGACTCTCTCAAGATCCTCGTGGACAAGCTCACAGAAGCCGGATATAGGCCATACCTCACCACTGTCGGTGGCAGTGGTCTCGGTGTCTATCCAGTCGTTGGAGATCCATCCCCCGAGGAACGAGAAGAGCTCAAGGCAGCATTCGTGGAAGAGCCAAGAGACAATCTCGCAAAGTGGGCAGAGAAGCAAGGCGGTTGGCTGTATGTATAAAAAGGAGGACTCGGATACCCGAAGACCAATGTTTTCGTTCGCTTCGTTCTATTTACTGTATCAATCTTGGACACAAATTGGACACGCTATTTCAAAGAGTTGACTGTCGTCGAGCGACATTTTTTTTATTGTTGAGGGTGATGGTACATTAAGAGATAATCAAGTTCCAGATGCTACAGTACCAAGCGCACGTGCGCTCAAACCAACGTAGGATTTCTTTAAATCCTTTTTCAAGCGGCCACGGGAACGGTCCCATTGGTAAGGTCCCCTCTTGAAACAGAGGAGTCGCGGTGCCTCTTGAGGAGGAGATCGAATCCACGACTGTCTCCTAACTTGAGCTCGCCACTGATGACGGCGGAATGGTATACACGGAGGACGGTGTCGACATCTTCCATGCTCTGCGTTCGGACGTCGGCCAGCTCCTTAATCTTAGTCGTGGCATCCTTGATCTAAGCCAAGGAGTAAGTATGTGATACTTTGTCCGTAATTCGAAAGGGCACTCACTTGGTCATCCGTCAAATCGAGCCTTAGTTGCTCCACTCGGCTCTTCACGGCATTCCAGCCCGTCAATCGATGGCTGAAGAAGATTTCAGTATGTTGAAATTTACACTCCATGAGCTACACACCCAATCGAGACATAGCGAGTAAGGCCAAAGTCCTCGGGCTTGAGGATTTCGTAGGTGGAGGGATTGTTGAGGATGGCCTTGGCGTGGATACCAGCCTTGTGTGTGAATGCACAGTACCCGCTATATTGCAATGTGAGAAAAGAAAAAATTTAAGAGTATAGCACACTGACGTGATGGGGTTCATGAAGGGAATGTTGACTTCGACGGCCTCTGCAACCAAGTTCTCGATTTCTCGGAGCATTGGGAGGTTATATTTGGCCTTGACGTATTCTGGGTTTGCGGCATAGAGGCATGCCACCAAGCCACCGAGTGGGGTAATGCCGACGCGTTCACCGATACCCAAAACGGCTTTTGAAACAATGTCAGTCAAAGTTTCGGGGTGATTTTCCGACTTACATGTGTCAATATGAGTTGCGCCGGCCTCAAGAGCAGTGTAGGCGTTTGCAATGGCTGGAGAGCGATCAGAACCTGGCAATGTGTGACCAAAGGCTGCTTACCCATTCCGGTATCATTGTGCAAGTGAATTTCAATATCACATCCCACGACACCACGCAATGTACGGACTAGGTCGTACACTTGGCGAGGGTTTGCGCACCCTACCGTGTCGGCAATGCCCACACGGTTGACGCCGATCTTGTCGACGGTCTGATAAATCGAAAGGAGGTCGACAAGATCCGATCGGAAGCTGTCTTCGGACGAGAAGCGGACTTCAATGCCCTTGGACTTGACAAATGTAATGACTTCAATAGCCGTCTTGGTGATGTAGTTCATATCCTTGCCATGGGAGAACTCGCGTAAGAAAGAGGAAGTTCCAATAACTACGTCGACTCCGTCGACACCTGTTTTGCCAAAGTGCGTGAGTATCGGCATTTCTCCAATTGGGTGAGAGTGGCAGTACCTGTCTCTACGGCGATGCGCGCGTCATCCATGTGACACCTAATATGTGTGAGAATCTTGGCTTTGAGTCCGAGCTTGCAGATGGCTTCGCAATCTAAGCGCGATTGCTCCGATGCAGCGGGGGAAGTGAGCTCGATGTAGTCGACACCGAACGCGTCCAAAGCTTTGGCAATTGCAATCTTCGTCTTGGTATCAAAGAATGCGTTTGCAAACTGCTCTCCCTCTGTGAACATCCGGGTAAGCCACGATCACGACATCGAGGGGAGGGGTGATACTTACCACGCAAAGTGCTCTCGATGATTTTGAAGTTGGATACGTTACTAAGGAAATCGGCATAGCGTGGTGCATATGGATTTCGCTGCTGTTGCTGGGTGGCCTGCACTTGATTGGCAGAGGTGCCATTTACGCCGTTGATTGGACGGGTCTCGCCGACAGGGACCATGTCCTGCTTGTCGTGAGTGTGCGTGGAGGATGTGTTGTCTGTCTGGCACATTTTTTAAGATTGGATTGGGGGGAGTAGGAAGGTGAGTCAGTTTGGGAGTGGCTGAAATGTCGAACTTGCCTTCATATATATACCCGAATACCTTTCGGCCGATTTTCACTTGTCCTAGCCAGCCACAGCGAATTATCCGTTTAACGTATTCTTCAGTGAATTCCCGGTTAACCGGTCTTCTTTTTCAAAAGCCACTGTCCGGATGCGACGACGGGCGAAGCCACGGGCATGTGTACATATAAGGAGAGTGGCGTCCAGTTTGAAAACATATGACCAAGTTCAATTCTTTTTGGGCGTAGTTTGGTCGGATAAATTATCCCAAGCAATATCAAACCCCGCCTACTAAAGAGCTGGACGCCAGCCGGGCTGCTCCTGAGACGCCATCGGAGGACATATCGAAACCGTAGTGCCATAAATGAAATGCGACTATCTAATTCTCTCAGTCATTGCGGCCACATAGGGCATCGAGAGCTGGTTGGAATTGGCCGGGTATGGCGCTTCATAACGTTCGTCTCCCACGCTAAATGCATTGAGGTCATTTTCGAAGCTCAAATAGTTGGTTTGTCTATTCGTGAACCGAGTTTGATGGCTGGAGAGTGTGACAAAACCAGGCGAGGGGAGGAGGGGGGAATGACATAAGAGCTGACTGGGGACGTCAAATACAAACGCAAGCAACCTTTTCGAGGAATCCATGTTGTCTAGACGTCCGTAATTAGCATTTACTGGTACCCCTTTGGAGCCCCGCATACTCTCAGATATTCAGATCCCCGCAGAGGTTTTCATCACCAGAGGCTGCATTATTATAATATAACGCATCAATAATGTGCATAGACGGTTTTATAATTGAATATCTGGCGTGCGGGATGCAGGCTTAATAGCAGGCTCGTGTGGCTCTGGCTAATTTGATTGACTAAGATTAGGGCCTCTAAGTCCTTATAAAGGCTGCGATGGCCGAGTGGTTAAGGCGTCAGATTCGAATTAAGTAGTATCTGATGGGGTCTCCCCGCGTAGGTTCAAATCCTGCTCGCAGCGCGTCCTTTTGCTCCCCGTCCCTCTGACTAGGGAGAGATTTGTTTTGAATATGGCGCTTGAGATGCCCCGATGGGCGCTAAGGTTCCGAAATTGACGCCGTCATTGTAATGGTCATTTTGTACTGGCCAGACTCGCCCGGCAAACAATGATATTGTTTTGGCAAGCACTACTTATATATGGGCTACAATGGTAATGAATGCGTTCAGTCCTCAAGGAAGAAATAGGTGCCAGCAGCTGTGCAGAGACACGTGAGTAGGCAGTTTGGTCATTAGGATACACACTCACCTTTTTGTTCGCGATCCTTTATGCTCTCTGCTTTGTTTACTCGTGGTCGGTAGTTGGTGGGGTCTCTCCTGAACGTAATTTCCAGCGATGCCAAAAACTTGTTCATGCCCGTTAGTAGCGATTGTGGGCTACAGAAGTTGTGAGTGCTGGATCATTACAACATGCTCGACTTACGGAGTCGCGGTTGCTTTGACAGCTGGAGTGCCTTCAAAGACAATGACACGATCGGCGAGGTAGGTCGCCATAATAAAATCGTGCTCGATAATAAACGCCGTGCGTTTTGCGTGGAGTACGAATCGCTTGATGACCTTTGAAGCGATGATACGTTGTTCAGAGTCGAGGAACGACGACGGCTCGTCCAGTAGGTAGACGTCGGCCTACAAATGCCCGTTCAGTGCATGCCTCTCGCTATAGAGACCAATTACCTGTAAACCTAGGGCCAAAACGATGGCAACTCGTTGCAACTCTCCCCCAGACAATGTCTTGACTTCTTGATCAATGATGGTTTCGAGACTCATCGGCTTGATCACATCAGTCTCAAACTGGGGGTTCATGAACATCGGTTTGATTCGCTTTAGTAGCAAGCCTCGAACTGTGCCCGGGAATTGTGGAGCAATCTTCTGCGGCTTTAAGGAGACTGATAAGTTGAGTTTTTGTTCTTCATCATCTGGTGCGTCTCTTCCGGCTAGCAACTTGATCAATGTCGTTTTGCCCATTCCGTTCTCGCCAAGCATCACGATGATCTCCGAGTCCGTAAAGGACCCTGCTTCCACTGTGAGTTTGAAGGTTCCCAGCGTTTTCGTCATAGCGGGATACGAATATCGCCTGGTCTTCTCTGATAGGACCTCTTCAACTGTTTCCGACATTTTGAACGTCAGGGCATCCGGCCTGAATCGGAGATTTTCCGTCGGAATAAAGCCGTCCAGGAAGATGTTTATACCTATCGATATGTTAGCAGCTTGGAGTGATATGAAACTTTGTCCACACCTTCACGTACGGAATACGGCATCGTCACGACACCGTAGACGGATGGTTTTCCGTAAAGACAGCAAACATAGTCGGATAGATAATCCAGAACCGACAAGTCGTGCTCAACGGCGATGACATAGCATTGAGGGTTGAGCAAGCCTCGAATCACGCGAGCTGCTTGCAGTCGCTGGCGGATATCGAGATAACTTGACGGCTCATCAAACATGTATCTGAAAAGATACATTAGGGTGACACTGTTGTGCATCAGCGTACTTACACGTCTGCCTTTTGTATGCACGACATGGCGATTGCAAACCGTTGTAGTTCCCCACCAGATAACTGAGATACATCGCGAGCAAGTACTTCGTTGAGCTCCAGCAGATCGCACATTTCTTTCTTATTGTCCAACTCCAGTTTGTTATCGAGCATTTTGTCCACCGTCATATCGCCTTTAATCATCCTGGGTATGTGGTCGACATACTGTGGCTTAATGAGAGCTTTGATATTGTCTTCCAACACTTTGGTGAAGTAGTTTTGTAGTTCCGAGCCGCGAAAGTACTTCAAGATCTCTTGCCAGTCCGGCGGATCGTCATATCTTCCCAGATTCGGCTTTAATTTGCCAGCAAGAATCTTGAGTGCAGTTGATTTGCCAATGCCGTTCGTGCCAACAAGTCCAAGAACCTGACCCGTGCGAGGGGTGGGGAGACGATGTAACTTGAATGCGTTGGCGGTGTATCGGTGTGTTACTTGTGAATCAAGATTTGTGGGCAAATTGATGATTTGGATGGCCTCAAAAGGGCATCTGTGCTTGGATCAGACGAGCTGTCGTTTCGCATGAACCCTGTACGTACTTTTTCACGCAAATACCACAACCAATGCACAGAACCTCGGAAATAAAGGCAATCTTGTCGGAAGGTTTGACCTCAATGCAGAGTTTACCTCAATCGAGCAGAATCAAGCGCGCAAAAAGGGAGGCAAAGAATGACTGATATCAGCAGGCCGCATGCAGATAGTATGAATGCGCTATTTACCCATTTTGACGACGGGACAAGACTACATCGAGTGCTTGTCAGCGCTCGTTCACCCAAGCCACAGCATATATAGGCCTCACCTTTTTACATTCTTGTGCACATCTTTTGGGCTTGCACCGATTCGCGTCTACAATAGCGATACGCGTGATTTTGTCGGCCATAATCCAGCGATGGTCAAATTTCGAAAGATGTAAGGCGTTCCAAGTTCCAAATCTGTGCACTCTGAGTGGCTCCTGAGGATTTGAATACAACACAGAAGCCAAATATACTTCAAAATACAAAATATAACATTATCGGCTATGGAAACGTGGCCACAAAACGTCTTCTATGTATTTGGAGAATGTGCTCTCAGGAGTTCCGATGACAGTGGCACTGCGAGAGGCTACCAATGCATCCAGGAAAGGGAGGAAAAAGCGCTCCATAGGTGTGTGATCGAGGGGATTCACTATTTGGGCCAACTCTGATTTTACTTGGGGAAAGTCCGAAATGAAGTAAAGGCAAGGGTGTGAGGAGAGGAATGGTTGTAATGCAGGGTGTTTACGGGGACTTCTGGCGTCGGTTGCGATGAACAGGTTGGTAGAGAGCGAAGGGCTATCAGTGTTTGCGCCAGTTACATCGCATGGGCGATGGTCTGGCGCTTGTAGTGCTACATTGTGGTAGCCAGGGTTGAATAAGGATTGTGAAGTTGGAGGGATAGGAATGGTCTGTGACTGTATCCCAGCAATCACCTCGTCAGAAAGGCCATGTGCGCTGCTGAGTAGCTTTTTCCACATTGTATGAGAATTGCGGACTGCATTTTCAGCAAATAGACCGTCTCCTACACGAAGATGAACACTGAAATACGTGTCGGGACCACCAAGCGCGGCTACAAGGTCGTCGGATAAACCGATCAAATACGGGTTGGCGAATGCCATAGCATTGCGTACTTGATCCTGAAGCGCCTTGTGAGCGCGAATGGACAGTCGAAGACGAGAGGATCCGAACAATGTCCCAAAATGTAGCAAAGGGTACGACCGCGTCGCGTCGCGTAGTTCGGGAATATTTACGCGTCGAATGTATTTGTCTTGGTGCGTTTCGTCATTTCCATTGTCGTATATCTGTATTTCGTACGCGTCCGAATCCTTCAACCAATAAATATCACTTGGACTGAGTTGAAGGGTGTCACGAAGCCAGGTCTGTCGAAAGTTCCATCTTTCGACCAGATTGAGACCCATGTCAGTCAACAGGGAAACATCGATGATATCCTGCCAAGAAACATGCGTATATCGCTCAAACTTGCGACATTCTTTCACAGTTGAATTTGCGGCAGTATCTGCAGTGAAGCAATGAGATAGCCTCGACTTATCTGAAAGGCTGTATTTCTCCAACAATTCATCAAGCGGTTTATACGGAAGTGGATGTGCGCCGAGCCTGGCCAAGGGAAGTACTAGGGTGCGGTTGAGGATGATTGAGAGTACTATCGCGTTCTCGAGTTCGATTCTTTGATTGTGAAACCCACTGTGTGGGAGATACGCGAGGAACTGAGATGATAGATTGGGTACGGTGAATTGGTTTCCTGGACCTGTCCACAAAAAGTTGTTACCCCTTTCGACGTGTCTTGACGGTAGCTCTTTGATGATATCTTGGTAGATTAATAGACATATAGTAAGGACGCTGGCCAGTAGGACTGGCCGAAGGCCGCGATGTCTGTAGGGCATCCGGGAACTACGAGCAGTTACGATCAATGGGTGCGGGCCTGGGTTGTAATCGGTTCAATACCCACACTAAACTGGAACGCGTCTCGCCACACGGGTACAAGTGGCAGGGTTCAACATGTAAACGTCGGTGGCTACAGTAATGGTACATTTTCAACCTACGAATACATCAAGTTACACAATAGGTCTTAAGTTTTCTGGTTTCACGATTCCCGACTCTAAATCTTCCGCTGTTACAAACGAGTGGGTGGTTGGCAGACTCGAGGCGTAGACGCCATCGCTTGTTCCCTCTTGTTCTGGTTCGTGTATCCACATAGGGCTCTTTGAAAGCTGTTGGCCAATGTCACCGTATGAGTGGACTCTGGTCACTTGAGGGACTCCTTGTATGGGATGAGTGCAGAAGGTAGTCTGGGAAGAGGCTGGTTAGGTTTTATGTGCAATGCAATCGTGCTTGAGCTGACCTGGCTGGAACCCCTAGTATGGGTAC